GCCTAGTACCGGCCGGCGGGTCCTAATTCACAGTTTTTCTGGCCTCATAAAATCGTGGGGCCAGGGCCAAAGACAACCGGGCTGAGTTTGTGACGTCAACGCTCTCGGCTGCTGATTGGTCGGAGAGAATCGTCACAATCTGCGCGCGAGATAATCCATTTTTACAAACAGCATTTTTGTTAACAGAGGAGCTACAACAATGGCAAAGAAAAGCACACCATGGTCGGTCGAGGAAGTGACGACGTCCATTATATTGCAGATGATAAGGTCCAGCGGGTGCTCGACGGGACAACTCGCAATATCAAAGTCTTTCAGGAGGTCTCTACACAGACACTGGACTCTCCAACGGCGTTACTGGAGTCTGCATGGTACGTTTTTGCTAACGCTGTTATTTGCTTGAAAGCTGTGTCCCTGCTTTGTGTCCCTGCTTTGTGTCCCTGCTTTGTGTCCCTGCTTTGTGTCCCTGCTCTGTGTCCCTGCTTTGTGTCCCTGCTTTGTGTCCCTGCTTTGTGTCCCTGCTTTGTGTCCCTATCTGTTTTAAAGCTCACTTCTAACAAATAAGTCTATTTTATCCTTACATTTATGTTCGACAACCCATGCTTTTATGGAGCCCCGAAGGCTAGCTAGGCAGATAGCATTAGCGAGAGCTATTGTTTGCTAACACCATATGTGCCATTGTTTACGTTCAGTTTGTCTTTTCTATAGTTGTTGTTGCTATTTATAGTATTGTGCTGCAGTAGTTTGTGGAATTTACAAGTCATGTTTCTGTTCTAGATGATTACATTGGGACTAGCGAGGAGGAACAGTTCCCAACAACGTCCTCTGCATCAACAGCACAAACCGAGGAGGAGACGATCTGGCCCTGCAGGAACGGCAACTGGCCCAGCAGAATCAATGCCATGTCTTATCTTATTGCTTGTTGATAAATAATTGCAGCCACCAGCGATCGCACAGAAAGATGGCATCATCTAGGCGTCCCTCTGCAGTCAGAAATATCATAAACACCATCGTCCACAAAGCACTGTACAGGGGTTTATGGATTTAAGAGAATACTTATCACAGTGAAACCTTTATCATCTGTTGCAATTAAAGCAAATAAGAGAATAAATACTTGGTTAAATAAAACATTTGAACTCTTTAGCAGGACAACTCTGCATACTGTTTGAAATTGAGTTTGCTAGCTTGAGGTCCTCCTCTAAAACATAACATTACATATTTTGTAATGGTATTAAGAATACATGATAAATACATGTAGAAAAATTACTCAATTGTATTACCCTCGTTGTGCTAGACTCAAACACATTGCTTATATATTTCAAAGAGAAGAGAACAAAAGAAAACACCTATACAAAGAGAGCGGTGCACAGCGCTTAATATTTACTTGCACTATATTTCTGTTGATCTGGGTTATTGTGTTGCACTGTTGGAGGAGCCTGTGACCTAAGATGTTCATTGTCATAACTACACTAGCTATGTTCGTATGACAAAATAAAAAACCTTGAACCTTGAGGCTGTGTCTTTCAGACAAACCATCATAATCATATTATTTTATGCTGTGGATACTTTAGCCTCCATCCATGTTAACAATTTTTTACACTTGCATTTATGAATATAGTTCTGTTGTGTTTTACACTTTTGTATTTATGTTTATAGTTTGCTTTGATATTTGCTTAATTTATTAGATTATTGTTATTATGGGGCAGTACTTGTGCTTGAAATTCAAATATTTACTAAATAGTCAATTCTGATAACATTTTTTTGGTTTAAATAATTTGACAAACACATGTATGTGAAAAAAAAGATGTATTTATGTTCAATACAATGAATATTTAGGTATTACATTATACATTCTAGGTATTCAGGTAGCGCATCAGACCCTCTCGTATGTCCCTGCCCTCCTCTGCACCTTGTGCCACTGCTACCCCTGGTAGACGTAGGTTTCCTCAGGCATCCTGAAGTTCTCCACTGAGTGTGTGAAAGATGGAACAATCACATTCCACCACTCGGTAGCTCGGTCGGTAACTTCTGAAATACACAAACAAAAGCATACATATTTTAATACGTAAAAGTGGTAGCTACAATTAATTAAATACTTGAAATACTTTGGTCGTATAGGGAGAGTGAGCCTAAACACATTGCTAGTTAGCGAACGTTAGCTTACCAAGTAGCATTGTAGTTAGTAGTGATTCGAGTCGTCCTGTAGTCTCTGCGGCGTAGGAGGACTGCCCGAACTCTCGCGTCAGCTTCTTCTATACCTCGTCTTGCTATACGTCGCCTCTTTCGAAACAACTCTTGTCTATTTCTTGTGATAATAAACCACACAGCAAAAAACAAGCAAACGATCGCTTTCACATCTCCATTGTTGTGTCGCATTGAAGATGACGTCACGGCAGTTTTAAGCAGCGTCGCTCCGCCTACACTGCGTTACTATAGATACTGACCCGGTTCCTAAACTGTAATGGAAACGCGCCATAAAGTGAGCTGGTCCTAACGAGGCCAATCGCGGCCCAGCCATACCGAGCGGGGCCGAGCGAGGCCGTGTAGTGGAAACGCGCCATTACAAATAAACAGAATCACATGAAGCGTGGTTAGTGTTGCCTGACTTTATAAAGTGTGTTTTTGGTTGCCTTCTAGTCACTTTGCTCAGCGCTACTGCTTGTTACAACTTTCATTTTCCGTACTCGCCATGAACTGTTATTATGGCTCAGGTTAATCTCGCCCCCTTCCGACGTGAGCGTGGTTCTTGGTTCTTGCCGGGCAGCCAAGTGGGGTCAGCTAAGAACCGGTGTTCGGTGTTTAGAGCCGGCTCCGCTGCGGCTGAAACAGGAAGAACCAGAGCGAAATCAGGCTGAGTGTGAAACCAGAGCTATTGAGTCAGCGTTGCGGTGCTGTTGCTTTGGTCTGGATCTGTGAGCTAACCACGCCCCGTTCATTTGCATATAAGAAATGGAAACGTGTCATTATGAAATACAAGTCCCCTGAAATAAATAAATGTGTCATTATGAAATACAAGTCCCCTGAAATAAATAAATATGTCATTATGAAATACAAGTCTCTTGAAATAAATAAATGTGTCATTATGAAATACAAGTCCCCTGAAATAAATAAATATGTCATTATGAAATACAAGTCCCCTGAAATAAATAAATATGTCATTATGAAATACAAGTCTCTTGAAATAAATAAATGTGTCATTATGAAATAAAAGTCTCTTGAAATAAATAAATGTCTCATTATGAAATAAAAGTCTCTTGAAATAAATAAATGTGTCATTATGAAATACAAGTCTCTTGAAATAAATAAATGTGTCATTATGAAATAAAAGTCCCATGAAATAAATAAATGTGTATTTAAATGTACATGTATACATATTTATTGCCTCATTTATTTATTTCAGAATGTATTTCATAGGCATATTTATATATATATATGTATTTATTTAATTATTTATGTATTTATTTATTTATTTAATTTTGGCTTAAATGGCATGCCATACTAGAGAGCCTGCTGGTCATGTCAGAATGCATTCACTACAGGACCTCAGAACTTTTACCATTCCTGACGTCTGTGCAATGTTTTACAACTCTCTGAGCATGATAAGCAGTGGCGGCACCAGAGATGTTCTTTTGGGGGTGCTGTGGGGTAGCTTGACGTTTCATAGAGGGTCCTCAAACATGTAGGGTTTCCCATTAAGGTACCGGGCGCTACAGTGGAACTTTCTACTGCAACACTCCCCACAGACACACACAGTGCACCCACGACTGTTACAATGAAGGCTCGATAATCAGCTCACATATAGGTGTAAGCAGGGGTAACGTGCTATTTTTATAAGTGGGGGGCGGACCTCATCTCCTCTAGGGGGGTCCTCACCTCCTCTAGGGGGTTCCTCACCTCCTCTAGGGGGGGTCCTAAGCTCCTCTAGGGGTGTCCGAGGGCATGCTCCCCCGGGAGATGTTTTTTTTAAATGTTGAAGTTAAAAGCATCAATCTGGTGCACTTTGAGAGCAACATGAAGAGATCTATGGAAACATCTCTCAACACCATGTGAAACAGAACTGGAAGCAGATTTACTTTTCTTTATGGATATTTTACAAATCACTCCCCTTTCAAACTGTATTCTTGTTTTACTGTCATATAGTATTTCATACCTGTTTTTCATTTATTCTCTTTTTTTTTTTATACCTATAATGATCATATAAACATGTGCCTCGGAAATAATTGTTTACTCTAATGGTGACCAAACCCGTTGAGACCCACTGAGATAACTGAGCCTCTCACTCTGACAGGACACACACACACACACACACACACACACACACACACACACACACACACACACACACACACACACACACACACACACACACACACACACACACACACACACACACACACACACACACACACACACACACACACACACACACACACACACACACACACACACAGAGCCGAGCTTGAATGACACACAGAGACCCGAAAGTCCTCGTACTACTTCATATCACATTCTTTTTGTGTCATTATTGTATGATCAGTCTGACAGATGAACATATCCTGGCCTCGTCAAAGTTATGCTTTTGGTTAAAATAACTGCTGCTACTTCCTGTTGACTGACCACGTCCTTTTCCAGCAACTCTGGCCCCACCCCGGGTCTTCTGGTCTGCTTTCTGTCCCCAGAACCAGAACTAAACCTGGAGAAGTTCAGTTATTATGCTCCAAACATCTGGAACAAACTCCCAGAAACCTGCAGGTCTTTTTAAATCCAGGCTGAAGACTTTCACTTTTAATTGAACTATTCATATCTCACACTGCACTGTAACTGTTATTCATGTATTTATACCTGTGTTGTTCTATATTAGCTTGTTTTATGTTTATTTAATTCTCTTTGCTTTTTAATGACTGTTTTTAAATGCTATTTTATAATGTGTTTCCACTGCACTATTTCTTAATGCTCTTAATGTCTTTCATTTTAGTAACAGACTCCTGTGGGAGGGTCCTCACCTGCTGAGCTCTCTTCAGGTCCACAGAAACACGGCTGATCTCGTCCTCCTCAGTCCTGGTTCTGCCTGCTATTCCCTTATATCTCCTTTTATTCAACAGTTTGAACACCAACTGTCACATGTGACTCACGTGAAAGAGGAACTCTACTTTACTTCTGCTCTGAGTTGAGGAAATGGGGAAAGAGGGGGAGGGGGGGGGTTGAAGTGATGCATCAACTCAGGAGGAACTTGTCCACAAAGAGAAACGTATAATATGAGAGTGAGGTCTATGTCTTTAGCACTGACTATCATTATGTCACTGTCATCACTGTTGACCATCGCATCATGTGTCGGCGACTCCAGGAGGTGGGAATCGCTGGCAAGGCTCTGGACTTTTTCCACTCGTACCTCACAGGAAGACAGGAATATGTCCGTCTTGGAAAAAGCACCTCCGACACACACTGTGTCACCTCTGGTGTACCCCAAGGGTCAGTCCTTGGGCCACTGCTCTTTTTAATTTACATGTTGCCCCTGGGACAAATACTGAGGAGCCATAACATCAGCTTCCACACATATGCTGATGACACACAGATTTATTTCCAAACTGCCCCGGATAAACATCTGGCACTTTCAAATGTCTCAAGATGCCTGGAACACATACACCACTGGATGAGCAACAACGCCCTCCAACTGAATAGCAGCAAATCAGAGGCCATTCTGATTGGAACACCACATCAAACACAAAAAACTGATATCCCTCATATCAGCATCAATGGCCACTCCATTCCCCTCTCCCCACTTGTAACGAGCCTAGGTGTGAAACTGGACTCATCCCTTTCATTCCAAGCACACATAAAGACGGTCTGCCAAGCCTCATACTAACACCTAAGAGTCCAAAAGCCTGCAGCTAGTCCAAAACGCTGCTGCACGTTTGCTGACTGGCCACAAAAAGCGTGACCACATCACCCCTATTCTGGCCTCACTACACTGGCTTCCAGTTCGGTTCAGAATTGATTTTAAAATCCTTTTATTTGTTTTCAAAGCCCTAAATGGGCTGGCTCCGGCCTATATAGCTGAACTCCTCCAGCGCTACACCCCAGCCAGAGCTTTAAGGTCTGCTGACCAGCTGCTGCTGGTAGTGCCCAAGACCAGGCTCAAAACCCGAGGGCACCGAGCCTTCGCAGCAGCTGGCCCTAGGCTCTGGAACACTCTGCCCCTCCATGTGAGGTCGGCCCAGACCCTAGGGGTTTTTAAATCCACTCTAAAAACACACTTCTTCTCTCTGGCCTTCTAGTCAGAGCGGAGCACGACTCCTGACTTTTCCTTGTGTTTTTATTTAAATTTTGTTTTTTATATATATCTGTTGTAACTTATTGTCGTTTATTGTGATTGTAGTAATGTGTTTTTATTACATGTACAGCACTTTGGCTCGACCAAAAATCGCTTTTAAATGTGCTATATAAATAAAACCTGATTTGATTTGATTTAAGAAACATCTCCAAAATGCGACACTCCCTCACCAAACCGGATGCAGAAAAACTGCTCCATGCCTTCATCACCTCCCGCATTGATTACTGCAATTCTCTGCTTGCAGGCATTCCAGCAAAAACCACTCAGAGACTACAATATATACAAAACTGTGCCGCCCGGATACTCACAAAAACACGCAATACAGAGCACATCACTCCCATCCTTCACTCACTCCACTGGCTCCCTGTAACACACCGGATCAACTACAAAGTCCTCATAATGGTCTTCAACGCCATCAACCACGCTGGCCCCACCTACCTACAGGACCTGCTAACCAGAAAACAGTCACATACCTCACGCACACTCAGGTCAGACAGCTCCAATCTCCTGGCTGTCCCGCGGACAAAACTGGTCACCATGGGAAACCGTGCTTTCTCCTCCCTGGGTCCACGTCTGTGGAATCATCTTCCAGAGAACATACGGACCTCAGCATCACTCTCAGTTTTTAGGAAATGCCTCAAGACCCACCTGTTCCACACCGCATTTTACTGACTGTCCTTTACTTTATTTATTTTTAAACCTTCTATGCTCTTAACCTTTTATTTTTATATTGCCATATTTTATCCAATATGCTCCTTTAGATAACTTTTTACTTATTGTTCCTTATAGCTTTGTGAAGCACCTTGAGATGACGTTGTTTTTAAAGTGTGCTATATAAATCAAATGCATTATTATTATTATGTCTGTTTTGTTCGCCCACATGCCTAGTGTCTCTACTTTAAAGAGTCCTCTCCTGCTGATGTTCAGGTGTTTATCAGTATGTAGTGTCTCTACTTTAAAGAGTCCTCTCCTGCTGATGTTCAGGTGTATATCAGTATGTAGTGTCTCTGCTTTAAAGAGTCCTCTCCTGCTGATGTTCAGGTGTATATCAGTATGTAGTGTCTCTACTTTAAAGAGTCCTCTCCTGCTGATGTTCAGGTGTATATCAGTATGTAGTGTCTCTACTTTAAAGAGTCCTCTCCTGCTGATGTTCAGGTGTATATCAGTATGTAGTGTCTCTGCTTTAAAGAGTCCTCTCCTGCTGATGTTCAGGTGTATATCAGTATGTAGTGTCTCTGCTTTAAAGAGTCCTCTCCTGTTGATGTTCAGGTGTATATCAGTATGTAGTGTCTCTACTTTAAAGAGTCCTCTCCTGATGATGTTCAGGTGTATATCAGTATGTAGTGTCTCTACTTTAAAGAGTCCTCTCCTGCTGATGTTCAGGTGTATATCAGTATGTAGTGTCTCTACTTTAAAGAGTCCTCTCCTGATGTTCAGGTGTATTTCAGTATGTAGTGTCTCTACTTTAAAGAGTCCTCTCCTGCTGATGTTCAGGTGTATATAAGTATGTAGTGTCTCTACTTTAAAGAGTCCTCTCCTGCTGATGTTCAGGTGTATATCAGTATGTAGTGTCTCTACTTTAAAGAGTCCTCTCCTGCTGATGTTCAGGTGTATATCAGTATGTAGTGTCTCTACTTTAAAGAGTCCTCTCCTGCTGAGTGTTCAGGTGTATATCAGTATGTAGTGTCTCTACTTTAAAGAGTCCTCCTCCTGCTGATGTTCAGGTTGTATATCAGTATGTAGTGTCTCTACTTTAAAGAGTCCTCTCCTGCTGATGTTCAGGTGTATATCAGTATGTAGTGTCTCTACTTTAAAGAGTCCTCTCCTGCTGATGTTCAGGTGTATATCAGTATGTAGTGCCCCCCCGGCAAGTAAAACCAAAGGCCCCTTAACCTATTCGGGTGGCCCACGCATCCACCCCCCCCTCAAATAACAAACTACATGTGAGTTCATGGCTACTGTAGCAGACAACGTTCTTGTTGCTCTGCGTTGCTAATGAGTGACACACCGGAGTGGAGGATCTGTGGGGTTTATTCTCCCACAAATATCATTTACAATTTAGCAGACGCCTTATTCCAAAGCGACTTACAATGACCCATTACAGGGACATTCTCCCTGGAGTGACCGAGGGCTAAGTGCCTTACTCAAGGGCACACTAGTGTTCTGGACAGGAACTCGCAACCTTCCGATCATCAGCCCACCTCACTATCCATTAGACCACATGTCTACATAGAAAAACATGAAAAACTATCTGAGAAAAATCGACAAATTGATGAGAAAACAATTAAAACTTAACATCCCAAAAAATCTATAAATTAGCTTAAAATAAAGTCACAAATGAATGAGAGAAAGAGTGAGTTTTTGGTCAAGTCTCCACTACGCTGTATAAGAAAACACACGTTAATAAAATATTCAATAACACGTGCTTTTCTTCTCTTTAGGATGAAGGGCGAGGAGAACACGGTGGTCAGGGATTACGTTCTCCCAGATTTCAGCTCCATCAAAAAAGGCTTCTGCAAGGTGAGGACTAAAACATCACAGACGTTCTCCTGTAGGCAAGGCACGTTTATTCATACAGCAGCTTTCAACACAAGGCAAGTGCTTTACAACAATGAAAGACATTAAGGCCCCGTCCACACGGAGACCATAACTTGTTTTATTAAAAAGGAAATGCTCACCATACCATTGAAAGAAACCTTCAGCACAGTTCTTACAGCCCTTTGAATCATATGTTTTAAATGATGATATGATCATTTGACACGCCATGCTGCAGCCTCGGGAGGAGATGGTGTTCAGCGGGAAGTATAAGACCGGAGAGCAGATCCTGAGACTCGCCAACGAGCGCTTCGCCGTCCCCGAGATGCTCTTCCACCCGTCAGACATCGGCATCCAGGAGATGGGCATCCCCGAGGCCATCGTGCACTCCATACAGTCGCTGCCTGAAGGTGGAGAGACGAGCCTTCATTCATACCCTTTCATGGCTTCCTTCCTTGTTTCCTATCAAGCCACTAGACGCCTTAAAGGTCCCCTACTATCCTCTTCTTCATCAATATATCACAGGTCTCAGATATATCCAGAGCCTGTCTCTGATTGGCTGAAACACCAAACAGATCATTGCAGCATTACCCATAATCCCCTCTGTTTCAGCCCTGTGTGTGTGTGTGTGTGTGTGTGTGTGTGTGTGTGTGTGTGTGTGTGTGTGTGTGTGTGTGTGTGTGTGTGTGTGTGTGTGTGTGTGTGTGTGTGTGTGTGTGTTTGTTTGTGTGTGTGTGTGTGTGTGTGTGTGTGTGTGTGTGTGTGTGTGTGTGTGTGTGTGTGTGTGTGTGTGTGTGTGTGTGTGTGTGTGTGTGTGTGTGTGTGTGTGTGTGTGTGTGTGTGTGTGTGTGTGTGTGTGTGTGTGTGTGTGTGTGTGTGTGTGTGTGTGTGTGTGTGTGTGTGTGTGTGTGTGTGTTTGTTTGTGTGTGTGTGTGTGTGTGTGTGTGTGTGTGTGTGTGTGTGTGTGTGTGTGTGTGTGTGTGTGTGTGTGTGTGTGTGTGTGTGTGTGTGTGTGTGTGTGTGTGTGTGTGTGTGTGTGTGTGTGTGTGTGTGTGTGTGTGTGTGTGTGTGTGTGTGTGTGTGTGTGTGTGTGTGTGTGTGTGTGTGTGTGTGTGTGTGTGTGTGTGCTCAGCCTCTCACGGTGTTTCCTGTCTGCAGAGATGCACGCTCACTTCTTCCAGAACATCGTGCTGACGGGAGGAAACATCTTGTTCCCGGGCTTCAGGGAACGTTTGGAGGCGGAGCTTAGGGCTCTGGCCCCCGCCCACCTGCCCGTCTCCGTCCTGCTACCCGACAAGTGAGTTCATTCAGAGCCCCTGCTGGAGATATCTAGACTAAATCTAAATGTTGCTTGAATTGAAGTCACGAATGAATGAGTAAACTACCGTAAAGAAATAGTGAGGTTTTGGTCAAGGAGCCAGTTCGCTCTCTTGCAAAAAGTGAAGTCACTTAAATAACGTATATATGATATTGTATTCGATGCTGTGATTGTATAACATCATCATGGTCTCTGGTCCTGCAGCCCCATCTGTTACCCGTGGGAGGGCGGGAAGCTGCTGGCTCACAGTCCAGACTACGAGGAGATAGTGGTGACACGAGAGGACTTCGAGGAGAACGGACATTTCATCTGCGAGGAAAAGTTCGACATCTGACTGAAAACAAACTCCTCTCACGGAGGTTGGAGAGGAAACCCTGCATGTTTCATATTCAGTCTACAGGATCTGCCTTCAACGTGCAGGACGGATTCAAACCACCAGACATGCTGTTTCTCTACAGCTGTTCAATGTGATTTCAGTGTGTTGTATATTTGTTGTGTGTGTGCAGACGTCATGGCTTCAACACTTCCTTTGGGAACGTCAATAAATGCTGATATTACATTTTGTGAAGACTGCTGCTTTATGAAGTCTGAATGAAATGTCAAGTGTCCTTTAACATTTAAATAAGAACCGTCTCATTCGCCATTTTGTATGTCTTTTAAAGAGTCCTCTCCTGCTGATGTTCAGGTGTATATCAGTATGTAGTGTCTCTACTTTAAAGAGTCCTCTCCTGCTGATGTTCAGGTGTATATCAGTATGTAGTGTCTCTACTTTAAAGAGTCCTCTCCTGCTGATGTTCAGGTGTATATCAGTATGTAGTGTCTCTACTTTAAAGAGTCCTCTCCTGCTGATGTTCAGGTGTATATCAGTATGTAGTGTCTCTACTTTAAAGAGTCCTCTCCTGCTGATGTTCAGGTGTATATCAGTATGTAGTGTCTCTGCTTTAAAGAGTCCTCTCCTGCTGATGTTCAGGTGTATATCAGTATGTAGTGTCTCTACTTTAAAGAGTCCTCTCCTCCTGATGTTCAGGTGTATATCAGTATGTAGTGTCTCTACTTTAAAGAGTCCTCTCCTGCTGATGTTCAGGTGTATATCAGTATGTAGTGTCTCTACTTTAAAGAGTCCTCTCCTGCTGATGTTCAGGTGTATATCAGTATGTAGTGTCTCTACTTTAAAGAGTCCTCTCCTGCTGATGTTCAGGTGTATATCAGTATGTAGTGTCTCTGCTTTAAAGAGTCCTCTCCTGCTGATGTTCAGGTGTATATCAGTATGTAGTGTCTCTACTTTAAAGAGTCCTCTCCTCCTGATGTTCAGGTGTATATCAGTATGTAGTGTCTCTACTTTAAAGAGTCCTCTCCTGCTGATATTCAGGTGTATATCAGTATGTAGTGTCTCTACTTTAAAGAGTCCTCTCCTGCTGATGTTCAGGTGTATATCAGTATGTAGTGTCTCTACTTTAAAGAGTCCTCTCCTGCTGATGTTCAGGTGTATATCAGTATGTAGTGTCTCTACTTTAAAGAGTCCTCTCCTGCTGATGTTCAGGTGTATATCAGTATGTAGTGTCTCTACTTTAAAGAGTCCTCTCCTGCTGATGTTCAGGTGTATATCAGTATGTAGTGTCTCTACAGAAAATAACACGAGTTAAACTCTGATCACGTGAATTATATATATTTAAATGTATAATAAAATAAGGGCTGACTGTGAGTCATGTTATTAATAACAAATATAAATGCTCAATTTCCATAAAAGCCTCTCTGATAAAAACACTTCTGACAGTAAAGACACAATCAGTGAGCCAGATTTAAAACAGCAACCCTTAAACCCAGGACAGGAAGTGGTCTCCTCCTACAGAGGACACAGAGACGCTGAGGAGTCATATGACACAAACCAGAACCCAAACCCAGCGTAGAGAGGTTTAGTGAATGTGGCTCTGACGGTGTGGAGGTGGGTCAGTGTGTCAGAGGAGACTCTGTAGAAGGAGAGAGAGCCAGCAGGATGATCCAGATACACTGCTACTCTACCAGAGGAGGAGAAGGAGGAGGAGGAGGAGGAGGAGGAGGAGGAGGAGGAGATGCTTGTTCCTCTCTTATTGTGCCAGACAGAGTAACCTCTATCAGCGCAGGTCAGACTCCAGGACTGATCATTCCATCCAAACCAACAGTCCTCTCCGCCTCCTCTCCTCCTGATTCCTCTATAAGTCACTGCTATATGAACCCCTCCTCTCCTCTCGACCTCCCAGTAACAGCGACCAGTCAGAGCTTCTCTGCACATCAGCTGAGGATAGTAGTAGTCAAACCTCTCTGGATGATCAGGATATTTCTGATCCTCTCTCACACGTGTCACCGTCCTGTTGTCCTCAGACAGTTTGAGGTTTCTGTCTGCTGTGTTTGAGTCCAGGGTGAGTCCACAGGAATCTGATGAGAGACACAGACAGCAGTTTATCACCAGACTCACCTGAAGGCTTTCCTCTCTGTCAGTGATCTTTCTATAAAGCTTCAAGAGGTCATGTTCTAATGAATAAATAGCACCTCCATCATCTGTGTCTTTAGAGAGAAGCTGACTGATCCACACTTACACTTCCTCACACCTGGTTGTAACCTCTGCTCTCCACCATGGTCCAGCCTGGAGGAAGAAACACAGTCAGGATGATGTTCTATCCAACATGAGTCCTAGCTGCTGGTACCTCGTGGAACAGAGGTTACTTTCTTAGAGCAAGCTTTTTTATTCTAATTTACTTTTTGTTGGCGTTTAGTGTCAAACATTGTCTCAGCATATTGTACATCTTCACATGAAGGACATACATCTGTTCATAGCTCTTCTCAGCAATATACACATGATGACACAAAAAGCACAGAGGAGAAAGACATAAAGAAAGAAATGAAAATCAAATAGAACAACAGTGATCAATTAGGGAGTAGACATTTCTTTCCAGCAGAGTTCTGGATCTGTGGAAACTAAGTCAGATCAGATCAGATTCCTTTATTGTCTCTACAGAGACATTCAAAGCATTCCCAATGGTGCACTCACACATAACAGACAGTAGAAGTATCATCTGACAAAACAAGCTCAAAACATTTCATATATAAAGAGACTCAAATGTGACCTATCATACATAGAACAGTACGCTTACAAAACAATATAACATTACCATACAAATACAAGTACACGAACAATACGGTCAATGCAGTACACATCTGTGAAACAAGTCAATACATAAGTGATTGATCATATGTTTATCAGTGCAGTTGATCATTACAGAACTAGAAATAAACATGTGTTCTATAGAAACGGTATGAGGGAGAATATAAAGTGCAGTTGGATGTGAACATGTACTTGAGCATCAGTTCAGCTCCATTAGTGCTGTGATTGTCTGGCTGTGTTCAGCTCACGTATGGCACTGGGGGAAAAGCTGTTCTTATATCTATTTGTCTGTGATTTCATGGACCTGAAGCGTCTTCCCGAGGGAAGCAGCTCCAACAGCTGGTGTCCAGGGTGGGAAGGGGCTTTGTGTAATGGTAAAGTCAGGCCTTTAGGGCTTCACAAAGTGAGTCCACTTCTCACAGGTTGGAGTAAATTGCTCCAATGTATGATTGACAGATGCTGTTATCTTTCCAATATTGTAAATATCCATTGAGATGTCCATCCATCCATTTAGAGTCGGGCTATGCTTCGATAACCACTTTCCTGGTTAATGCCTTTTCAGCAGAATGTTCAAGAAGTATTTGTCCTTTCTCAAATTCCTAAAGTATAACATCTTGATCTCTAGAGGTATTATGTCTTTGAAAATGTCTGGTAAGGCGTTGTGTATCTCCTTCCAGTAGTCTTTGATACCTGGACAGTCCCAGAATACATGGAAGTGGTTTGCATTCTGGTCACCACAGTTCCTCCAACATATAGGGGGGGGGTCCTATCATAGTGGGACTTCTGAGAGGGTGGAATAAAATATCCTATCAGGTTCTTCCAGGTATATTCCCTCCAGTTCTGCCAGCTGGTACATTTCCATTGATATCTCCACATTGTTACCCATTCTTCTCCAGATATATGTATCCCTCCTTCCTGCTCCATCTTCTTTATTATGTAAGTGCTTGCCTCTGACACTTTTTCCACTTTCAAATGAACATAATGCCGTACCTGAAGATATCCATAAAAGTCCTGTTTCTCCAAAGTGTATTTCTCTTTGAGGGTATCCAAACTGAGCAATGCTCCCCCTTTCATCAGCTTGCACAGAGCTGTTAGACCTTTTAGAGCCCAGTCCCTAAATCTAGTATCCAATCTGTTAGGCATGAAATCTGAGTCATATGCACACCATTTGAGAAAGATAGTATCATTCTCCAATTTATATTCTTTTATAATAGTTTTCCACATTTTAAGAGAACATTTCACCCATGGATTTTCAATAATGTGTATGAAATTGTGTAGGTTATTGTCCTCCCAGCGTCTCCCAGGCGGACAGCTGCTCAGCCTCTCTCTCTGTGTGATCACTGTGACAGCAGTCCTCTGTCCTTCACGTCTCAGGATGCTTCCACAGCAGTCTGGTACAGCCTCGTCCCGTCCTCCTAAAATACTCGTAGTTTAGCAGGGAACGGGGTCTGGAGGCGAATATTTCTCTGCCTTAGCACTCGCTTTGCCTCGGAGTAGTCTTTACGTTTTTGCAAAATAGCTGGTGGGTAATCTTGGGAGAAATATATCTGTCTCTCGTTCAAAAACACCTTTTCCCCCATGGCTTGCATATAATATCTCTTTCAATGCCGAGCTCCGTGGCGGGGGGGATCTCAAGTGCCTCTTGTAGTAAACTCTTCACCAAGTCAACCATAGATGACCCCTCCGCTCCCTCTGGGACTTTATAAATCCTTATATTCTCCCGTCGGGATCTTCCTTCTTCGTCAGTCAGTTTATTTTCTTGCTGATTCATTACCTTTATCTTCTTGCTCAGCACCTTTCACGTTTTCAATTCTCATTTCTGCCTCCTCTATTTTAACGTTGACGTTGGTAAGCTCGGATATCATTTAGTTTAATTGTTGTTTTGTGTCTTTGCGAAAGTCCCGTATCTCCTCCAGAACTTTAGCTAAGCTAGCCACGTGTGGCTCTGCGCTAGCTTCCTCATCATCGACCTGTGCAGGCGAGTTGTTCGTTGTATTTTCTTCGTTGGTAGACTCTGAGCCAATGTTTTTCTTTTGTCCGTCCTTTCTTCCCATCTTCGCCCCGTTAACTATTTCTAATTTTACAGAGACATTTCTTATTTGGCAATTAAACGAGGCGAAATGAATCTCTTACCGGGGGAGAAGCTAGACTAGGCTGCCATTCGGTATGGTGACGTCACCGGAACCATGACCATCATTTTCAAGTCAATAAAATCATCTGAATTCATATCAGGAGTCAAGTAGTTAGTTTGTTTATCATGTAGCCGTGTAATAAGCAGGATTAATGTGCAGTGAGGCATCCCGTACACATTCAACTGCTAACAGTTTATAGCTAACGTCTAACGGCTAACAGCCAACTGCTAACAGCTACCTGCTTACAGTCAACGGCTAACGGCTAACAGCTAACGGCTAACAGCCAACTGCTAACAGCTACCTGCTTACAGTCAACGGCTAACTGCTAACGTCTAACGGCTAACAGCCAACTGCTAACAGCTACCTGCTTACAGTCAACGGCTAACGGCTAACAGCTAACGGCTTAGTTTACCAGCTCTCCTCCTGCTGATATCCCAGTCTCACCAGAATGCGTGACTTAGTGATGTGTCGGTCGCAAACGAGCCGGCTCTAAGAGCTCTTTTAAGTGAACGAGCCAGTTTTTTCTGTTTTGTTTTTTTTGTTAAGTAATACAAGACAGAATGATATGATGATCTCCGCGCTACAGCTGCTCCGTGCATGCATGCAGTGGCATGTAATATCCAAGGATTAGAGACGGTTGGATGCTGCTGTACTGAGCATTGCAATATATTTATTTTTATTCTGTTTTTTTATGATTAGAGACGGTTGGATGCTGCTGTACTGAGCATTGCAATATATTTATTTTCACTATGTTATTTATTTATGATTATCCTTGGGCTCAGCAAAGATTTGATGTCAGCTGTTGCTGTCTTTTTTCTATAGTTAATACTGAAATAGAGCCCTGCTGTTTTGTCAGGGCCTTTTCTTTAAATATAATTTTAAAATGTCGATACAGCATACCCTTTTTTTAAATGTCTATGCTTAAGTTTTTATAGGTGTTGCTATCTGCTTTGTGTAGCGTGGTTCTACAAGCAAGTCTGTGCATTCATTGGGTGGTATCAGAGAGATACAAGGGTCTGTAAATGCAATGAAAACAATTGGCCACAGCAAATAATTGATATTAAACATGTAATTTTTACTTTTGAATACTTCAGTACAAAGGATGTATTGAATAATTTAAGTGATATGTGTACACATATAAATCATGAGTCAAAACAGGGCTACATTTGATTGAATTATAAAAGGTATAATGTGTGGTAAACTGAAGAGCCGTTTGGGAGCCGAAAGAGCCGGCTCTTCTTGGTGAGCCGAGCCAAATGATCCGGCTCACCAAGAAGAGCCGGAATTCCCATCACTAGCGTGACTCCACCACGACTCCTTAACACCGCATTGTGTGGTGGAGTCACGAACTTTGCTACATGTACGTGTCTGCACCACGCAAACAACCCCAATGTAAAGTGAATGAGGCTCCTTAGTCGTGGTGCACACACGCATTTCTACAACGTCCAGCAGTGAGCTTTTATTCTATAAAACGTTTTTAAAATCTACTTTATAGCTTGTAGTAACTCACGGGAGGCTTCTTTTATTTTATTTGTATTCATAATAATTTTTATTTTTCGTCAGAATGTATTATGGTGCATTATTCACCAATGTTTGTTCTCAAAAAACAATGCATTGTGTGAAATACAACTGTGATTTTTATTAAATGAGTTCGTTTTTAAGGAAGGCCAGAGCTTCAGCTGTGTCAAAGAGATTGTTCCCTTTAGTTAACGTTATTTAAAAGATAATTATATTCCTATTTGATCATGTCCCCTTTATTGTATTACGGACCCAAAGAGCTGAGCGTCCATTCCCATTGGATAACGGAGGATTTTACACCCGGAAGTAAGTATTCTCCTTACTGTCGATTGATTTTATTTACAGTGATATCTGCACGACTCATCAACTCAAAAACACCAGATTATCCTCTTGTTAATTACACAACATTGATTGGTTTAAATTGTGTACAATGCTTTTGTAATTTTCCCCTTTCGATTCGGAGAAACAAATATTTGTTCAGAGTTTAGGATGGCCGAAGACACTACACTACCCAGAATCCTCAGCTATGGGACTACACCATGTGCTTAGAACGTGTCCTACCCCCCCCCCCCCCCCCCCCCTTAGGTCACAGGCTCCTCCAACAGTGCAACACAATAAAACAG